ATTCATACAATGTTTCATTGGCTTATTAATTCACATCACAATATACAAAAAAGGAGGTCAAATCCTACGTACCTTGGGAATACCTTAGGCGAAGCACGCGAAGGGAAAGTGACTGCGTTCCACTACGGCGTCTCTCATAATCATATAGTGGTTTTGGGACGTTAAACCCCACATATCAATCAATTAATCGAAAGTTACTGCGTTGTAAGTTTTTTATTGAGTGAAGTCACGTTATGAAATGACGCTATATGCACGTACCAATGTTGTGCGCACACGCATATGTAGCTAAAGATGCTTATATAATCAGTTGTTTGCACTTGCGCAACGACCCCAACAGGAACACGAGTATTAGCAACACCAGAAGTGATAAGCTGATATGAAGCGTTAGCGTTCGCGAGGATCGTAGCCCTCGACACTGCTACATGAATGAACTTGGCGAATGGCAGTTAAGTACAATTGACGTTAACCAATGGTCACGGCTGTATAATAAGAGTGCATATGTAATTTTATAAAACTAGAAAGCCAGCAGGGGCGTAGCCAGAATTAGTTTTAAAGGGGGGGGGGGTTCACACTAACCCGACCGAAGGGGGGAGGGCGTAGGCATCAGCTTTCCTCTGTGATGTGACCATCGGCAGTATTTTGAGCAGATTGTGAACACGTATATCAAAGTCATGAGAATCCCTCTCCCTATGCGTATGCTTGTGAAGAGAGTAAGTAAAAGTAAAATCATCATCATCAGCAGCAGCCTAACTACGTTCACTGCAGAACAAAAATCTCCTCCATGATCCACCAATCAACCCGGTCTTGTGCTCTCTGCTGCCAAGTTGTACCTGTAAATTTCTTATACTCATCGGCACATCTAACTTTGTCTCCCCTTCGTGCGTTCTCCGTCTCAGGGAATCCACTCAGTTTCCCTAATTACCAGTGGTTATCCTGCCTACGTGCAACGTGCCTGGCCCATGTCCATTTTTTCTTCTTGATTTCAACTATTATATCATGAACCCTGGTTTATTCCCTGACTCCCTCTACTCTCTTCTTGTATCTTCTAAAGCACCTATAATTTTCCTTTCCATCGCTCGTTGCGTGGTCGTCAATTCAAGCTGAACTCTCTTTCAAGCCTCCGAGTTTCTGCTTCGTAGGTAAGTACCGGCAAGATGCAGCTGTTATATACCTTTCTCTCTAGGATTAGTGGCAGATTACATTTATTTATATGAAAATGCTTGCCGAATGTGATCACCTCATCCTTATTCTTCTAGTTATTTCACTCTCATGGTTAGGCTTTGTGGTTACTACCTGTCTTAAGTAGACATATTTTTTTTTTGCAACTTCCAGGGTCTCTACACCTCTCCCAAAGTGGTGTTTTCTACTGAGACTGTTGCACATTACTCTAGTTTTGCGCATAATAATTTTCAGACCTACTTTTCTGCTTTCCGTGTCCAGTTCAGTAATCATGAGCAGTATTTCGTCCTCCAAGTTAATTATCAAGGCAATGTCATCAGCAAATCACAGGGCTCTAATGTTCTCTCCATGAACTTTTTTTTCCAAACTCTTTCTAATCAAGAGCCCTGAAAACCTCCTGTAGACACGCGGTCAATAGCATTAGAGAGAACGTGTCTTCCAGCCTTACGCCTTCTTTTTTGGGATGCTGTGGCCTTCTTTTTGTAGAACTAAGGTGGCTGTAGGCAGCGATGGCGTAGCGGTTAGGTATCAGCCTCACGTCCAAAAGGTCTGTGGTTCGAATCCCAGTGCCGCGCAGTTCCCAACGCAGGTTTTTTAAAAAATCCGCGTGGTGATGGAAATACAATAATAGGCCTGCGGTGCGGCTTCATCGGTGACCACTGTCGGTAACGTACTCCCTCACCAGAGAAAGATTGGCCACCCTGGTGCAGTATCTAGCCACTACCTCCCACATGCATACGTCAATAAACTTACGGCCCTCAGTTCCCAGCGGCTGTGAAGAACAGACCACGTCGGTGGTCTATCTACAACGTAGCAGAGGATGCTAATAATCTCTGGGTCCGGACAGGCCACCATTGGAATCTGAGCTTGGCAACGTTTAACGCTAAAACCTTTTCTAGTGAGGCAAGTCTAGCTGTACTATTCGAGGAGCTGGAGGGTGGTAAATGGTGTATAATAGGGCTCAGTCAGGTTAGGAGGACTGATGAGGCACTATACAGTGCTACCGAATAGGCACGTCCTTTGCGATCATGGCTTGGCTGACAGAGGAGAACTGGGTGTGGGGATCTTTTTCCACAGACATATAGCTGGCAACATTGAGGAATACTATAGCATTTATGAAAGGGTGGTAGGTATCGTAACTAAACTCAATAATAAACACAAAATGAATGCTGCTCAGGCTTATGCGCCTACATCCAGCCATGATGACGTGTTGGTAGAAAGCTTCTATGAAGACGTACAATCGGCAATGAATAACGTGAAAACACAGTATACTATACTGATGGGTGACTTCAATACCAAGGTAGGGAAGAAGCGGGCTGGAGAACAGGCCGTAGGAGATTATCGGTACTAGAAATGATAGAGGGGAGCTATTAGTAGAATTTGCAGAACGCAATAATTTACGGATCTTGAACACCTTCTACCGAAAGCGAGGGAATTGTAAGTAGACAAGGAGGAGCCCTAATGTCGAAAGTAAAAACGAAAAAGAATTTACACTGAGTGCACACCCAGGCATCGCGTAGGATGTGGAAGGGCTTGAGAAGGTACGAGGCAGTGGCGATAGAACGGTACGGTCGCGAATTCAGAAGGAACGACAGAAACTGATATGCAAGAAACCAATAGATAAGCTAGTACTGAGAGGGAAAGAAGAGGAATTCAGAGTCTCGCTTTAAAACAGGTACTCGGCTCTTTTCGAGGAAACCAGCCTTAGCGTTGACGCAATGAATGATAATCTGACGAGGATTATTGCGGAGTGTGCAGTGGAAGCTAGAGGTACGATACACAGACAGGACACTGGCAAGCTGTCCCATGAGACAAAGAACCTCAATAAGAAGCGTCAAAGCATGAAAGCTTCAAATACAAAAGACAAAATGGAATTGGCAGAGGTTTTGAAGTTGAATAATCAGCGTAAAGTATCCGATGTAAGAAGGTATAACATGGAGAAAATTAAACACGCTCTGAAGAACGAAGGAAGTGTCAGAGCAGTGAACAGAAAACTTGGGATTGGCAAAAATCAGATATATGCACTAAAAGACAAGAAAGGAAAAGAAACTAACAATATGGATAGGATAGTTAACATACCAGAAGAGTTTTACAGAGATTTTACAGTAACTGAGACAACCATGACCTTAATACAAGAACTAGCAGTAACCCAGATGGCATTCCACCAGTAATTATAGAAGTCAGAAAAGACTGGAAGGGAATGCAAAGTTGCAAAGGTTCTGGTGACGATCAGGTAACATCAGATCTATGTAAACACGGAGGACTGATTGTGCTAGAAAAACTAGCCACCCTGTTTACGAAGTGTCTTCTGACCAGAAGAGTACCAGAATCTTGGAAACATTCTAATATCATCTTAATACATAAGAAATAAGTTGACAAGAACCCGAAGAACTACAGGCCGATCAGCTTGTTCTCCATTGTATGCAAGCTATTTACAAAGTTAGTTGCTAACAGATTTACGAGAACATTAGAATTCAATCAACCAAAGGAACAAGCAGAATTTCGGACAGGCTGCTCAACAGTCGACCACATTCATACCAACAGTCAGGTAATATAGAAATGCTCAGAATACAGCCAACCACAGAACATAGCCTTTGTAGATTACGAAAAGGCGTTTGATTCAGTAGAAGTATCAGCATTCATGCAGACACTGTGGAAGCAGGGCATCGACGAAGCATAGTGCTCCGTAAAGAAAGGGATCAAATACCAATCAAGAAAGATGTGAGGCAGGGGGATACAATATTCTCATTGCTCTTTACCGCGAACTTAAAGCATGTTTTCAGGGGCCTAAAATGGGAATAGATCTGGATAAGAGCGAATGGAGAGTACCTTAGTAACCTGCTCTTCGCCCATGACATTGCATTGCTGAGTAACTCATGGAAGGAATTGCAAAGGTGGTTCCTAAAATATACTGCAGAAAACGAAAGTATTCTATAACAACCTCGGAAGAGAAGAGCGCTTCAATATAGATAATAGTGCACTTGAAGTTTTAAAAGACTACGTCTACTTGGGACAGGTAATAAATGCGGAGCCGAACCACAAGATCAAAGCAACTAGAAGAATAAGAATGATGTGGAGCACATTTTGCAAGCACTCCGGAATCATGACTGGTAGATTACCACTATCCCTCAAGAGGAAGGTATATAACAGCTGTATCTTGCTGGTACTTAGCTATTGAGCAGAAACCATGAGACTTATAAAGGGGGTTCAACTAAAATTGAGAATGACGCAGCGAGCGATGGAAAGGAAAATTATCGGTGTAATCTCAAGAAACAAAAAGAGAGCAGAGTGGGTTAGGAAACACACTGAGGTTAAAGATATTATAGTTTAAATCAAGAAGAGGAAATGAATGTGGCCTGGACATGTAGCGCGTAGGCAGAATAACCGCTGGTCATTAAGGATAACTGAGTGGATTCTCAGAGAAGACAAGCGGGTTAGGAGGAGACAGAAAGCTAGGTGGGCAGACAAGATTAGAAGGTTTGTGGGTGTAAAATGGCAGCAGCAAGCACAGGACCGAGTTGACTGGCGGATCGTGGGAGAAGCCTTTCTCCTGCAATGGACGTAGTCAATCTGATGATGATGAAACTAGACAGGTCATGTCATCAGGCAGGGCACAGTTGAACGAAGCTAGCTTGCCACCATGGATTGCATGGCAGAAATTTGTTAAATGATTGTTGTTGCTGCTGGGACTCCTGCTGTTTTCACTTAGCTGCTACTAAAGTGTCGGTGGTCGCACAATAAAGCCGGGCAATATGGTGCACGGCAACAGTGTCGTGAAAGGGCCCACTTGTAGGCGGGTAACTTGAAGTATGCTAAAAGGATGCGAACCACTACAACGTGATTTTATTTCAAAAATAGGATTTCCTTGGCATAAACGTAGCACAACGAGGTTTTCGGACTGCTATTTTTGCAATCAACATGAACTTAATGTTGAATTTTGTGTGCCTTTAACGACGCATAGAGCTGAATGTAGGCAACAGAGGCGCTTTGAATAAATCTGAACCATTTGAAATGAAATTGAACACAAATGCTTTAAAATTCTATGAGTGCTGAATCGACATTTCTTTTTCAGAGGAAATTCTTCACTGACAAAGTGGTAATTTTCGCGCACTGCTGATATATTGATTATAAAGATTACGACACAAGTAGAGTAGTTATGGGCCTACAAGAAGATAAGGTGGTCTGAAGAGGGGGAGGGGCATGCGGCTGAAATTTACCCACAGTTTTATCGCGGCGTGAAACCAGCCTTGGACATACATGTACACACGCAGGCACATACGCGAAAATATTAGTTGACAGTTGTGTTTTCGAGCAGTAACTGGGTCATCATCTAGCAGTAAATTGTATTCTCAAGCCACTCTTTGGCCTAAGAACCAATTCTGAGACCAGGTTGATTTGGTCTCGCTGATCGAGCGATTTGAGCTTGAAGCGACGTAGTACATTAGCGATGACAATCTTCTCTTCAGACAAGGCGAACTTCTGACCTGCGTTATGAAAAACGAAGCATGATATTATATATTGTGGTGCTTTTTCAAAACTACCATTGACAGAACCTAACGTGAATTAATTAAAAACTTCATATAGGCAGCTCTCGTCTAAATATCTAAACAATTCCATTTTACAGACCTGCTGAACAAGTTAGATGACGTAGTTCACCTCATCATATAGCAAGTGTACTTGCTATATGACAGCGTTTCTCTAAATTTTCCTCGCATATCGCTTTCTGATAAATACGAAGTGCAAGAAAGTCGACTGTTTCATGTTTTAATGCGCCTTAACGAACTGTGAATCACTTAAATATTGAAGATTTATCCTCTTCATTGTCTGTCTTTACCATTGTCTTGCTTTGCGACATCACGTTAAGGATCTTGAGTCTTTACTTAAGGGGAGACACGGGTATGGGAGGCCGAAAATTTTCCGAAAACCGATTTTTTGAAGTATTTTTTTTCATAATCAGTAAGGTCTAAGCAAGCTGTTCCTAAAATATTATAGCCCTGTAATGCGTATTTGTCGAGTTATTGGGTCGCAAAATATCAGTTTGATGACCATTTTCGCTTCCGAAACCACCTCAAAACCGTCGTATTCAACGCCGCAGCGCGCGAGAACCCCACCAAGTATCACCAACCGCACCAGCGCTGCAACCTTCAGTGACCCCTACCACACTTAAGTTCTTTGATAGCTGAACATAACATCACGAAGTAATATTTTAACTTCTAATTCTAAATATGACATCTTATACAGCTGACTCCGCATATCTGCTTACGTTTCTCTGCAGCAGTAAGCACACCGATTCCCTTTCTTGTCTTCTTGTTAATTGGCTTATTTTCACTCTATGCTGAATAGACTGCATATCAGGGCAGGGCAAAAGAGTTTCACTCCTTCCGAGTTCTTAACCTTCCTTATCTCGCATCGCTTCACCAAGGCGAACTCTTCTTCTAACGTCATATAAATTTAATTAAAAGGACACAATTCCTCACATTTGATCGGAGATACGCAAGAAGGCTCAAACATTATATATTTGATATATCATAAAATCTTACCGATGCAGTTACGAGGACCAGCCGAGAAAGGAATGTAAGCAAAAGGATGTCTGCCCTTTGCATTTTCTGGCAAAAATCTTTCTGGGTGGAACTCTTCTGGTTTCGGAAAGACATTCTCATCTCGGTGAAGACTGTACACAGACACTCTTACAATTGTTCCCGCAGGCAAGGTTACGGAACCTGGTTGATGACAAAGGAAGACATATAAGGAGTATATCGCCTAAATTATCTGAACTTAAGATGACTAGTGGCGTGCCAAACGCAGGAAAAATAAATTTTATACCTATTTTAAACGGCTCTTCGCACGTTCTCGTTAGGAAACTTACAGATGGGTACAATCTCTGCGCTTCCTAATAACAAAGAGGGGAGAGGGGGAGCAAAAAATGAAAAGAAAAGAAAAAATAAGTGACAAGCATCTCCAAATGTTGCAACATATTACTCAAACCATGTCTGCAATGTCTGCGATATTTTGTAAAGTACCATAGCAATACCTTTATGCAGCTTTCAATATACTTCATTTCCTTCAAATCGTCGGACGTGACTGGACGGTGCTTGTCATTTCCGAAGATTGCATCCAGTTCGTCGTGTATCTTTTGCTGCTCAGCAGGCTGGTGGCCAATGAGAAACAAAGCCCAGCTGATTCCCATTGCCGTTGTGTCGTGTCCCTGCGTATTGATAAGTACAGTGATGTAGGATGTGCAAGCCTGTTTTGCAAGCTCTACAAAGGACTTCGTGTGAATCATGAAAAGCTGCAATGTTGCTCATCACAAGCGACTGCTTTAGTTCTAACTGGCCTGAAGAATTGCAGTGAAGAGATTAACTGCATTTAGACAAAAAACCAATCAAAATCTCACCAATTATACATAACCGCATTCGGCTTCCGGTATTCACTTATGTGTGCTTTTTTTCATTAGTTCGACCGAAGTTCTTTCTTGCATGCTTTATAAATGAATATCAAATGTTGTACAGGATGCAACAGAAGTTGCGTCATCTCGTTTTTCTAAATATGATGCTACATAGCTTGCCATTAGATCCTTTATAGAATGAGACGATGTATTTAAATGAGATTGACATACTGCTGATTAAGTATTAAGTTGATATTGGCTCATGACATTCAGGTTCTACGTCACAAGTGCACCTGTTGTCCTAATTAAGTTCCTTGGCACACTTTTTTTAAACAAAATTGCTTGAGATATATAACCTAAAGTTGTCATTACGTGCTGCGGATAAGGTTCCGGCAAAAGCCACTGAACACAGAACATTCTCGTCTGTAATTTTATATACACCTACACTCGGACTCGTATTTGTGGATATTGTATCAGACAAAACCCGAGCAGGCTGGGAGAGAGAGAAAAAATTTATTTGAAAATCAGTCAATGCACCTCAGGGTAAAGTCTACCTGCCCTGTCGCACCTAGCCATCAGCCGCAATCTCTTGAAACACGACAGCAGCATTAACGGCTTGACTGATGATGTCCTGCTGGACGTAGGGGTCTAAGCTGCACAGCAGACATTCCCAGGATTCTAGAGTGGGCCATCTATTGCACTGATTTGGACTTGTTCTACCATGTGGACCAGGTTTGCTGTCTCTGTCAGGAGAGTTGCTTGTTGGGCAAGTTGGTACATACTTACTTAGTTAACCACAAAAGAAGCCACAAAATGTCGATATCGCAAAAGGGGGTTATGGTGGCAATTTTAGGTAAGGTTAGAACGCAGAGCAAACGGGATAATATTAAGGCATTCTATATCTAGAAACTTGATTCGTCCAGACAAATGTGTTAGTGCAGCTTCACTTTGGCTCACCAGGAAAGAACATTTATTTCTAGCACAGAGGTTGTTTTCTCAAATTAGCTTGCTTGGATTTCTTAGTTGTTTTTTTTTGGTTTGTTATCTGCGCACGCAATGCAGGACTCCGGAGGAAAGTTTTTTTTTTTGAATAAACGTGAGTTGCTAGTGCCACGTCTCTGCTCTCTGTCTATGTTTTGTGGCTTCTTTTGTAGTTGCGATTTCTTCACAAAATCTGTACTGTCATCCAGGACGTCGTTATTACTATCCGACGCAGACACAAGGGACAAACCACAGTCACTTTTCTTGTGTCCGCATAGTTGTGTGCTGCGTTAAACTATGTTCAAGTACTGTCACCAACTGGTCTCAGACCTGCTACAGTATAAAGTAGAGTGGATCTTACTGGAAGGCATCTCACTCTGCGAGTAGAGTACATACTCCTCAGCCTCTCTGTCAAGTACGTATGTGTTGCATGCGCTTGTGATTGGCCGTGCGGCGACAGTTTGTGTGCACGTGTGTGTGTGCGTGTGTGAATGTGTGCGTGCGTGCATGTGTATGCATGTGCGTATCATCACTAGACTATATGAAAGCGGCACTACCTTGTGCCATCCAACAAAACGTTCCGCTAGGAATAAAAGAAGACAACATTATTACGTACTCAATGACGTTTTCGGCAAAAATAGCCCTCCTATGCTGGTTTCACAGATTGTTTCTTAACACATCAGACAAATATACAGTCGCAAGGTTGCATTAGAGAGGTCAATTGTATGTCCAAAGATGAAAATACGAAAAAAAAATAAAGAGTGGCTGATCGATAAGTGCATCTCTTTCTGACCTCGAACATGAATGTGTCCACTTCCTCCCGCATATCTTCTTCACTAATAGACGTTGAGTCTTTCAAGTGTTCGGTAATGAGGAGGTCTAGAAACGGCCTTCTCCCTTTCTGCTTTCCGATGTCATCATCAGCATCGTTCTGATCTTCGAGGCGCTGTTGCTTCTGCAAGAACTGCTTTCTTTCTGCTATCACCTGGTAGGAAAAAAAAAATCGTCGAGTAGAGTGCAGAGAATTTTCATTCTGACTGAAGCTGCTTCACCCTATAGCTCAAAGCAGGCGAAAGTGGCGAAACGGTCTGTAAATCTGCTACCTTAGCCACCTGAAGGCTGTTTCGCATGCTGCTATTGGAGCAACATAATAATAATAATAATAATAATAATAATAATAATAATAATAATAATAATAATAATAATAATAATAATAATAATAATATATGGTTATTAATATTATTATTGTTATTACTATTATTACTATTATTATTATCAACATTATTATTCTCGGTAGTATTCGCTCCGTTCGCAACCACCGCTAATGACAGTAGCTTTTCTTGTGGTTTGCGAATGGGCTTTAATTTTAAGGCGATAGCTTTAGATGCTTCATCAGATGCGAAAACTGGCGGTGTCGGCGTCTACACCAGTTATGCAAAAATAGTCACCGCGTGATGGCATCAGTATATGAAGTCATCAAAGAGTCAAAGACCACCGACCTATAAGGTGTCATCAAGACGCCAATATATGCTCCGTTTCATGCATCAGGTGCAACGCTGTGGAAGCTATGCAAGAAGTTCGGCCAGCAAAACGTTCAACTCCGGGCGTTTCCTGGTTGCTCACGTAACATCTGATTAATGCAGGTTCCCCGTCACGTTTCTTTGTGCTCCCCTTTTTTGCGACTTGAGAAGAGAAGAAAGTGGGGTGAGCACAAAAAAACGCGGGTACCCAACTACCCTGTGGTGTCCTATGCTGCACTGACACTGAAAGTGCAGGTGGCCGCCATTGGAACGTTCCCAGAATAGAGAGCTTGCATATGACATCACGTCAAAACTAAGCTATACAGCTACATAATAACCGATGTTTAATAGCGTTTTCGTTTGTAAGCCACGTAATATCCTAAATTACTTCTCACTGTAATAACGAAACAAAAATTAAATTACTGGTGGTAAGAACATCGAACTACTTTTTGTTGCGAACGCATCGACTGCAAGAAGTCACGCTAGCTTTCGCAACGTTGCACATGATGTGTGAAACAGAGTCTATGACGGCCACCGGATGAGGTCATCGCATGACATCGCTACTTGGTCAAAGGTGGGCCGATCACAAAGGCAACGCAATATAAGAACTTCGGAAAGCTTGCAATGCTCCCAATCTGGGGGCAGCTGAAAACCACTTTAGTTGCAGAAAGGTTTTGGAGGGCGACGTGGGAGGATGAATACATCGATTCAGAAGACAACGAAGAAGACGGCTTTCGCCTTCGAGTGGTTTTAGGTGTAAGTGACCCCGTTAGTTTTTGGCTCTTCGAATAACGCTTCTCGCAAGGTTGCTTGCTGCTACCTTTTGTTGTAGCCATGGCGTCATTTCTCAAATTTAATATAACAATTTGCGCATTGTCTAGTTTTCATTATTTATGAACAATTTGTAATCCAAATTCAGTTAGAGGTGCGCAAGAGTGCCCATAACGAGAACAAACTCATCAGCGCGATTCAACGGCTCGATTGGATCGGCACTATTTCGATGGGCTCTGACCAAAGTATTATACGCCACTGTGAACAGTGCAAAAATTTTCCAATGTGCGCGTCACTGATTCACCGCTAGTAGCATTGCGGCGAGAGTGGACGGCGTTTTTTTTTTTTTTTGCCCGGCGAGCGGTTCGTAGCTGATTTATTGATATGTGGTGTTTAACGTCCCAAAACCACCACATCATTATGAGAAACGCAATAGCGGAGGGCTTCGAAAATTTTGACAACCTGGGGTTTTTTAATATGCACCCAGATCTCAGCACGCGAGCCTACAACATTTCCGCCTCCATCGGAAATGCAGCTCCCGCAGCCGGGATTTGATCCCGCGACATGCGAGTCAGCAGCCGAGTACCTTAGCCACTAGACTACTGCTGCGGGGCTTTCGTAGCTGAAAATCGCTGTGATTTGCGGCATGTGAAACAGCCTTAATCTAGTGGAAAATCGAGTGGCGTGATTTTTCAGTCTCTTACACTATGGTCTCATACCGATTTCTCAGCCAGAGCTGAAGCAAAATCTGCCTCACTCACCCCCCCCCCCCCTAGATTTACCCATGTACCTGGCCATGCACTGCGCTGAGTGCCAGTGTGATGAGCAATTCTGCACGTAGTAGATCTTGTTTGGACACCTCAATTGCACGACACGAGAAATCACCGAGGCTTTCCATATTGACGTGAGGGCTTTTACGTGTGTTAGCAATCCTTCTTTGGCTTAGTCGGAAAAGGAGGTGACACTACTCAAGGAAAGGGCGTAGACCGGTTGACAGGGGGATGCAGGAGGTGTCTTCTTGTTTTTTTTTTATTTTTTGCCTTTTTATTCACCCACGATGAACATGCACGCGATTTAGTCAAGCGTCAAGTTTATATGTTATATATTTTCGGTTCAATCTATAAAGCTTTCAGTTGCAAGTATAAGCGCTTGTGATGTTACCTTTCTTTTCCTCACCATTTTTCTTTTTGTGCTACGTTTACGCCGTAATGAATCAGTACCAACTCGCTCGCCTCTCCGTTTTGCTTCATTAGATTTACCTAAATATGCACTTCGATGATGCTTGCATACGAACATACATTTGCAAATATGAAACGGTGACCAAGGCGTTGGCAGTGACTCCCAGGGTTGTCACTGGTGGCTACATTTCACCTAACTGGCGCGTTTGAGAGGCCAGTGGCGACCTAAAATTATGAATGGAGACATGGCGAATTTTCATTAATTTTTCGCTTGGGTTTCAACTGAGTTATGCATTGAATATTCATTGTCTCCAAACAAATGGGCGACAACACTGTTTTTCTTTTTCATGGTTTCAGACCTACCGGTACTAGGTGCACCTAACCCACAATTTAGTATGCCTGTCTTGCTTCTCGTTTGTATCTTCCAACTCAGCTACGAAGGTACTAGCGCACTGGAGCGTCTGCCAGCAATATCAAAGCAAAATTAAGGTCAGTGGACTGCTTCGCGTACCGCGAGGTGGTGGTGTTAGACTACGTTTTTTATATGCTTTTAGAGCTTTGAGCTTTTTCAAAGTTTTGTTTCTTGACTGGCTAGGGGAAGGTAAGGCTGCGTGTTCCGACCACAGCTCCAACTGTCGTGAATAGCTTGTCGGCTTCTTTCATGCAGTAGTACCCCCTAATTTCATATATTGAGCTTAAACTTGTTGTTAAGATACTTTTCGTGAGGGCCAACAAGTTGGGCTTCTTTGGGCAGCCTTGAGGCACTGCAGTGAGGTCAATTATAGCGTAAACATGATCATACACAAACCTTTGTTTGGGAATTTCGACGGTTACGCAAAACCTCCGAAGTTATTTCTGTTATTTTGTAATTAACTTATTCGATTACGGAATACACAATTTCACGGCAATGAAATTCACTAAATCTGCAGGAAGGCTACGTACACCATTTTTCTCTTGTTGCAGCAACTGCTTCATCTGGTGTTCGCTAGAACAGAAGCCATCACAAAATATATGTTATGAGGCGCTAGCATTCAGGGACGCTGCTAGCGCATGTACATAATTTTTCAGGGCCCCCATGATGAAGCAGTTGATATGACTGGTTTTAGAGAATGCAAATGTAATTTAGGTTTTATGGATGGTACCATACTCCTGAGGGCTAAATATAGATAACAATTTTTATATGCCACGCATCTGTTGAGTGTCGAAATGTTTGGCTTATTTTGAATAAAAAATGGTGACCTCTGGTAACATTTCGCTCGTCGTTTAGCAAATTTCACTCAAAAGTCAGTGTCAACCCTTGTGATACCAATCAACGCTATCAGAAATTACTTCGTGCTGCCCGACAAAATTTTCTGCCTCTAAAGGGCCCTTTTTTCAGCAGCCAATTTTGGATTGTGATTGCCGAGGTTGTGAAAATCAGAAAAAGGGACAGTAACAGTGTGTTGATCTGTAATAATCTCAAAAATTTCGAAGAGTCAGGCGAAACCTCTGCCACAGCTATGGTGTCTGCTTATTTAGCTAGTGAGACATGAACATAACGCAAACGATTCATGAGGTATGACAATCCTGCATGTGATATTGCCAACGACTGTGATAATGACAACAAAAGTATATCATCAGACTTCGATAGCATTATCACATGCATAGGTGTCATACCTCAAGAATTGATTCCATAAGGGTCATGTCTCATCAGCCACATAGGTGTATTTGCTACGTTTTTCACCTTGAACATGCGCGATGGTTGTCTGCAGTCTTGTTTTTCCAGATGATGGTATTTATTTTACTTCGTTACAAAATTTAATTTAAGTTGCGAGTCAGCACTGGTTGGATCACTGGTGTCTGTCATTTCTCTTCTAATTATCTTTCTCTATTGTGCTCATTTATCCGTTCAAGATGCATTCTTATTCGCCTCCGTTTCGTGTCGAAAGAATTGAGGAAAGTTTTTTCGGAGGTTGATAATTCCCCTAATTTAAATTCAGCGTATTTCTTCTCCCGAAAAATTTCGGAGGTTGATTATTGCACTAACTTAGAATCAGCGTATTTCTTCTCCCGGACCGTATACAATCAACTATATATATACGCAAGAAAACAAGCTGACAAAATTTGTGAAGCAACCACATGCTGGACGGGAACCTGAAAAGTCGTGATGACTTCTGATGATTAGGCTTTACGCATGTTGCGGTGCTGTAAGCTGCCGATCACCGGAAGACCCCGTTTCCAGTATTACAACATATAGTTTACGAACATGATTATAATAATTTTTTGTAGTGTTCTATAAATCAATGCAATTTTGTTGTCAAGACAGGATCCGTTTGTTCGCTTAATTCAAAAACTATATTATTGTTAATAATAATATTTCTGCTTAAGAAAGTCTGGCCGTAGTTACGACCAGTCATAATAGTGATATTGTGGACAAAAATGAATTGTCGTGCATGACATGCCCCCTGAAAACATTTAGGTTGAATGTGCGACGAATGTTTGTTATCTTATCTTAAGTTCTTTGCGTCTCTAACGGTTTCTGCCTAATAAATTCATTATGACGATTTTGTTCTGTAATCAAGGCTCAGCAGTAATAATTGTAAAATCGAGACTACTCAGTGAAAACACACATCTTTTTTTATCAGTTGGCTGTTGTCGGGCGCTATAATGTAGATGTCTCAATGAAATCAGTGTCAGCATTTTAACAGTGTATTCTTGCCTTTCTTGTGAATGTATGCAGCGTGTGCAGGCACTCGTAATACTCCTTGCCGAGGGATGTGCGCTTAAAGATGAACTCACTGTTGAGAAATGGGTTCATCATTCGTAGAATAAATAGCTCTCCCAGTCTGAAAAAATAAAGAAAGAGATCATTCAAGTGCAAGTGTCATTGAAAAAAAAAATGAGATATGCACCATGAAAAAAATATTATATACGAAGGATTTTCGAGTTATAGAGTTATGTAGATCACTTTTGGTTTGAACAATGTGCTTTCTGACCACCTAAGTTTGTCTGTGTGAGGAGAAAAGTCGCGTGGGCGATGAGAATTATTTTCGTATAATGACGCCACTGGCAATAACAGTGACATAGCGAATATGACAATGATAAGACGACAGCACCACCACAGCCAAATCTAAGGCCGTAGACTTGCAAAGTCCTCTGGCAATGCTTTTCGAGTTGAAGCCAGCCAAATTAATGACTCAAGAAAACACATGTAGTGCTTCACTGATTACATATTTCGATGGCGCATATACGGAACAGTATCTGTAAAAAATGAAATTCATATATTTCGAATTTTAAACGACTATAAACCTCATTCGAATGTTTCCATCAATCACACTTTTTTAGGATTGCGGTACTTAGTTCATTTATTTACTCTATTTGGGCAAAGAAATTTTACTGCCTGTTCTGTTACACCTCAGGACCGTTTCAGATGGTCAGGCACTGAGGGAACTCGACCGATACTGAAGGCGAAATGCGACGCATAGAGCGTATGAATTCTGCAAAAAAAGCTGTAGCTCCTATATGAGTGAAGTCAGTATACACCAGTCACTGCTTTGAAGTAAAAACATTGCCTTCCTATTAATAATATTTATTATAGCAATAACGAATCATTGATACTATTCTGCAACCTGTAAGACACAAGATGAGCAGTGGAAAAAATTTTTCAAACCAATATCTTGCCTACGCCTTAGCGCACGCATTGTTGCACCAACGCACACAAGGCGCGAATTTTGGACAGCGCGTGCACACACACACACACACACACACACACACACACACACACACACACACACACACACACACACACACACACACACACATATATATATATATATATATATATATATATATATATATATATATATATATATATATATATATATATATATATATAGATTATGCTGAAATCTGTAAATGTTCTGACATGTGAATAAGGTGTTCTGTGGACAAACCTGAAATTTACAAAAATTCACGGGGTAAGCATGACACTCCGTGGAATTGTTCTTGCTGTTACCATTTAACCTTTAAAGTTTAGGAACAAATGAGTCATTTGCATTTGCTTGATATGTTCCCTGCAGACAAACAAACAGTTAATTTCTTTCTTATTGTTACAATGTATGCTGTAAACAGGGTACCGTCCCATCTACCGTAGACGAGCTACCATAGACTAGCAAGTAAGTCGCTTGAAGGTGTGTGATTACTAGTAATCGTAGAAGTTGGGATGAATCATTCGGGAACACAGTGGGCGGTAATAAGCCTGATGAGGTGATTGCATTGAAGTGATTTCGTATTTACTCAACATTTTGATATGTCTTGCGTGGTAAAACGACAAAGCTGGTTCACGGGAACTTTCTTTACGAGAAGACACGTTTAATTAGGCTTGAGGAGCCACTCTATCATTCATAAGGTGCTTGAGAAGCCTTGTTTGTTTATCGACGGGCTAGGTGCAGTTTTACTGTTTTTCATAGGTGGATGCATGTACAAGACACACATTCTGCTGATGCAATGAAAACGGAAGGCCAATTATGAATTGGTTGCCTCTGTGGTGAGCCCCCGATAGCCTTAAGTGGCAATCCAACTGCGATATGCAAAAAAAAAATGTCCTCCTGAAGTTTTATATCACTTATAAATAAATATGTTATCACTCTCAAGTTTTATCATGCACGGTATTCATTCATTTATGCTGCAGTTTAGACTTGTAGTTTGTATAGGGCCATGTGAATAATTGTCACTTCGTGAAGAATAGGTCATGCAGTGCATATATCGTTGAAAACGAAATTCTCAGCATGAGAACGTTCGTGTATAAACGGCGTGCCCGAAAAAAAAAAAACGGCCCTTTTTCGCAGCCTTTCTAGCAAGTTCGCAAAACACCCTTCTGGCTGTAACCTGACACCGAAGGGCAGCCACGAGTAAAGGAAACGAGGGCGCCGGACAGCGCTGTGACCACCGGGGAAAAAGGAGGGACGAGATGGCGATGCGGCGACGGCTCCAGTTGCTAATTGCCCTCAGTGCCGAGAAGTCTATTACAGAATGTATATTCGTGTGGCCCTTTTCCTTGACATAATTAAACAGTCATTTTTTACTGGATACACACTTCAGTGTTCTAATTTCACAAACATGAATGACAAATACAATTTACCACCTGCATCGTGTTACTTGTACAGATACTTTCTCTATTTCAACGTAACGTACGTGCATTTCAACTGAAACTAAAAGTTAGGGGCTCTGCAAGGCACTGCCGTTAGCTTTACAATTCCTCGTTCCGTATGAAAAAGCAAAAATCTTCAACTTCAACATAAAACTCAATGCGTCCTTCGTGATGTTCGCCAGCCAAGTATTGAGTCGTCTCGGGGGGAAATGCCGGCAGCCGGGGGGGTGGGGGGGGGGGTAATGTCGTCTTCAAGCACGAGCGTAAAATGTTCGCCTATACGATTCGGTTAGAATACAACATGAAATGGACACAAGTACCGCATTGCCCTGTATCTTAATTCGTCCTAATATAGGCTCAATTATAGCATTTTTCTGTCTCATTCAAATGACACAACGCCATTCGATAGCATAAAATTTCCAAAGTATCTTCGAAAAATGCCTGTCCTCATTAAGACGGGGTCGGTTAGAATGGAACGCGATGTGCATGCCTCCCTAATTGCATTATTGGACACGCGCTATACGCCAGCAAAGCGTGAGTGCTGTGGAGTTCAATCTGATCTGCGTCCGCTGTCGAACCCTGGCGGCAACCATGCCAGGGCATGCACGGACGGGCGGATGAACGGACATGAGCCTTAGACATTAAAGGCTTTCGCCTTAAGGTTCCAGCACTGAAATATGTGCATGACTGATCCCATCCGCAAATCGGCTTGGCGTGAGGCGAAGCGTCAGCACCGAGCATAAGAGGTTATGCCTTTATTGCTTTGAAGTAAAACTTATGTAAATTGGTTTGTTTCTGTTTTTTGTTTGTGGCTGCGAAGAGTTTTCGGCTCCATGCGTGTAGTTTGCAGGGCAAGGCCACGGTACATGTGGTGATGACGAAAATAAATTTGGCTGGGCACGCGTTGTGGACGATGAACTCACCTTCATCTTTCCGCCCACACTGGTTGCCGTAGCTGCCTCTGGCTTCTTGTGGATAGGTGAGAGAACGGCTACACGTCATATTGCCCTCTGTCGCGTCATTTCTTACAGCGCTGTGACCTCGACGTAATTATTTCAGTGACCTTGCGATGATTTTCTATCGTTCGAGTTTTACTTCGGCCAGAAAACATGCATGTATTTGTCACACTAAACGAAGACATGAGAGCAACTGAGCAGGCTGCTGTTCGGTCTTGCATCCCAGTCTTACAATCGTTGCTCACTACAACGCGATCATTTCAAATCGTTGCCTTATAAAGGCCGACAGACAACATTAAGCGCTGAAGGGCCAATGCGCATCCCAACTGAAGGACGCCGCAAAGATTAACGAGCAAGACAAACAATGACAAGTTGTGCCAAAAGAAAAAACAAGCAAAAAAACCCACCTGTTCACAGCTTTTACATATGGCGAGTGTTCATCATGTTGTGCTTCAATCGATGTCCCCATTATCGTCTCTGTAATATGAGAAATAAATCAAGCAAGGTCAGGAGTGTCAATTTAAAACATGAGCGAAAAATTGTCAAAATTTGCGATAAGCCACGCCGGCCTCTAAACAGCAAAAGTGAACTATTGTGCTGAAGACTAATCTGGTTGATTCTTTTGGTTGTTTCTAAGCCTTAGCTAGATGATGCAGACTTTTTCCAGGTTGCTCCTTATGAGCATAGGTGAAGGTGAAACATAGGTGAGGTTATTGCTATAGGCGTCACCTATGTTTTACCAGCTTGTTTCTACGTTCTCATTGCGATTCTCAGTGCAAAGAAGGCTGAAATACACAACAGACAGTCACAGACATAACACGTTTGTTCAAATTTCAGAAACAGGAACTCCCGCTGAGTTCAAGCGTTCGCAGCTTTCGTAGATACACGAGCACGGTCCCATACACAACACGTTTGTTTAAATTTCAGAAACAGGAACTCGCACTGAGACCACGCGTTCGCAACTTTCATTGATACACGAGCACATCATCGTTTGCGTTGGCTTCGGGGTCTTCTCGGCACCGCCATTGCTTTCTCCGCGCCTTAGAAATCTCTAGTTGTACGTACTGGGGGACTTCGGGTCGCCGCCATCGCTTCCCAGCCATTTAAGTGGAGTCAAGTTCCTTGACTAACTGTTGCCTTCTTCTTTTTAAGTGGACTGATGGGGAGTAGTGGGATTCACACAGTTTCTGTGGCGCATGCCCATTTATGATGATAATTATTAAATGCAAAGCATTTCTTTGTGTACTGCAGCCACTCTTAGCTTCCATCTACGTATCTATCTATCCAGCCGCTTGCGCATGCGAGCTCTCGTGATCAACCCCTTAACTTGGCGTGAAGCAAAATTAGTATGGCAGGGTAAGATGACTAGACGAATATGACACGCTGGTCAAGACATGAATGATGCTGCTATTCCATCGCGTACGTGGTCAAGCACTTCCACCAAGCAGTGGCACATACCTGCGGGCGGGTATGCGCCATATAAGTGGGTATTTGCCACAGGTGATTGACACTTAAGTATTTACCAAGAAATGACGAGAACACACATGGGCAATTTTAACGCATTAGCATTAGGAAAATCCTGACATCGGGAGCGTTGACCTGAACAATGCAAAGAATAAATATCAGGATCCAATCAGGAATCAAACCCCAACATTCTGCGTGGCAATGAAACAGTCACATAGCCACACCAGGCATCAGAACTTTTTTCCAATTGATTCTAATGTTCATGAAACTTCAATTCTTGTTGCAGTGTTGGGGCTATCCGATTTCATAAATGTTACATATGTGTTCCTACGATACAGCTATCACGTCAGGTTATCATCAATTGTACTTAAGAGCCATGTGATAAAGTTGATTTATGTAGAAGTGCTCAGGGGTACACTATCCCCGCGAGCCCTTTATTTAACCTTATCGCTTCTGGTGTTGCTAATACTCATATTCCTGTTGGCAGCGTTGCACGAGTGTAAATAACTGTATATATAAACATCTACTACTGTTCAAGGTATGTTTGCACGAGCAACATTTGTACATTTATTTATCGTTGTTTTATAACATATCGCTCAATAAACAAATCACAACACGGTCGCCTTACTTCCGCAAGCTTCTCATAACGTCAATTCCCAAGGTACGTGGGATCTGATCTGCTCAACTGCTTCGCCGATAAAACTGAGAAGGAGGGAGTCTCTGTTATAGGCAGTGAAAGAAAGCACGTGTAATGTTTTCATTTATCTAATTCATCGAAATGGGAAAGCCCTTGGCGACAATAGAACCCGCACCCTTAATTTTTCTGAACAATTTTGTCGTTGCCTTGCTGAACCACCAGAACAAATTTAGCTCCAATTGTTGAACTGTTAATTTAGATAAACCAGACGCATTCCGTTCATCATCAGAACATCTACAGTCGGGCGCAGTTTAAAATTGCAGCAGTGTTTAAAAATGCAGCTCATATTCCTCAAAGATGAAGGAATATAAACCTGCACCCTGCAATGAACCCGCTGGCCAGACTGTTGCCGCGAGCCGAAAGTTCGGTGACTCTGCCATCCGGCACAAGCTCGGGAATATTTCTTTGGGGCGGAGGTGGTCACAATCTGACGATCTGTTAAGGGCCTCTCATGCCGTCTTGAATTGTATCCCACTAAATAGGTTTTCTGGCTGAAAACGATGAGAAACTTCGCCCGATAGTGACTTTTTTTTATTGTGATAGAAATTTTGTGGATAGCCTCGACGGGTTTCCTCCGTAAGTGTGACCGCTGCCACCGTCATGTTTGCATGAAGTCCAAATTTATAACATATGCCCGCGCATTGTATGTTTTATTCGCGGGTGAACGCGCGCGAGCGGGGGTGATGCACGCGGCTGAAACAGGGATCAAACGAGATGACCCTATTCCTTCACACGGAAGGCGAATACGATACAATCTCCCCATAGAGTGAACCTTTGTGAAATGTTCAAGCCAAAAAAAAAAAAAAACACAACCTTCGTCTTTAACAAGCATGAAAGAACCGGGAAGGGCCAGGGGTCTTGATTGAGCATGCAGCAACTGTGAACTTTGGTTCGAAGGGCGAGGTCGCGATCGCTGGAGCGCGCACTATCTCGGTATGGATCAGCGGTCTGTTTGTATACCCTTCAGCATGCTTCGCTATCAACGCGAAGATGCTGTGCAAAAAGTATCTGTCTCTGGTCCGGCCACGTTCTCTTACCTCTGTGTTCTGTAGAGTTAAGAATTATCGGATCTAGACGAGTTATAGCTACCAGAGTATAACATTAGAAGTTGTTGCTATCCTATTCAATGATTCACCCTTGCGGTGAAACTGTGATTTTTTTAATTTGAATTGTGCCTTTAAAAGCTAGAAAAGTATGAATGGCTCAAGTTCACCCCCCTTCCCCCTCGAAGACCTACCATTGTGTTCTGTGCTTTTGTTTATATATATTATATATTTAGGGATTTTGTAATCTATTCACAATTATTTTACTCGATAACTGTCCAGAATCTAGTATCTGACTGTCCACTAACTGACCACGACTGACGGTTTAGTCTATTCTCTTCACTTTGTAGGCAACGCATGCCTACCGAACAGCCGTAAACACGGGCGATCTCTTTGCAGATAAAGCTCATGCCACACTTTCAAACAACTGAGGCACTTCACACAATTCAACCCAAAACAAAGCCTCCATGTGCTCGTTCGCATAAAAAAGAAGAAGAAAACTCACAGGGGCCTTGAGACATTCCCCTAAGACGACTCGAAAGCGAAAGCCTTATTCTTTTTCTTATCAGTGTATCAATGATCCTCTCCGGCACCCTATCTAAAGCTTTCTGCACATAACCCTGTTTTGCACTGTCTCGGTGATTGACCCACCTTTGGCCAAGCGACAATGTCGTGTTGTGGCATCACAAGTTTTTGTGATGAATAATTTGTTATAACGTGAGGAATGATTTCATGTATTAGTCGCGTTGACGCCGCCGTCGTGGAACGCCAGCGCTGAGTGAGTTTGCGCGTTTGATGATTTTGCCTTAATAACGAGTTTAAATGCGAAGCATCTTATGAGCAGTTTGGTACAGTATCTTCCGCGCCCCACTGCGCTTGCACGTTCCCTCCCCCTGGCTCTCCTTTCCCACGCTCCTTCCTCTCTACCCTCGCAAAGCCGACGCAGGCAGCGTCTGCTAGCCAACGCTCGCTGCCCCCTCGTTCTCCTCTAGGCATCCCTCCCAGAAGTGTTTACACCACCATTGCGCAAGCCCTTCCCCATCCCTCTCCTACGCTCTCCCTTCTTTCGCGTCGCAATGCCGACGCAGGCAGTGTCTCCCACCGAGTGCTCGCGCTGTGACAACCGTTCACTGCCCACTCCGTATATATAGGCACTGGATTTTTTTTTTCATTTATTTCTATATACTGTTGGCCGCCATGGCCGTAACAGGGTGGGTACAGTAAATCGTAACATAAAACAGAAACAAATGCAACGTCATACATTAACGACAGAACTAGAAAAAGACATTTTTCCAGAACAAAGAAAAATATGCTAAAACATTACAGCAAAAACCTTCATACAGATAGTGTGATGGTGGTATAGTATGCATTATGAAGTAACTACACAATTATAAGGTTTAGTCAGGACCAGGAAACTCGGCGCTAGTTTTGGTTTCAAAGAACATGCACACTTGTATAGCGGTTGCCGGGCATCCTAAAATGCGGTTCAACGGAGAGAGGTTGATGTGAATGTTCGCATTTATTGGCCTTCACAAGTTTTTAGAGATAAAAACAATTTGATGCGCATTTAAAGAACTTCTCTTTTGTTCATATGTCTCTTCATATTCCTTATTTCATGAATTTTAAATCAGGCGAAGCGCGGCAAGTGGTTGACATGCATTCGTATCGCTTGCCTCTGTTCCTTCTCGCCCCTCGATCAGCGATATTAGAAGCTGGATTGCGCTGAGTTATTTCGCTTGGTTAGTGTGCCAACAACGGGAAAGATAAACACAGCAAGTTGTAGCGGGCAGAGAACGGAAGCCGCAGAGAGCTACGCCGAATAATGAAAAATGTATTCGTCGAAAATGGCTTCATCGGGCAGCACAGATTTTTCGCGGCTCTGCGGTGTGCTAACCCGGGCATTTCTAGTTCCGCGAATGTTTTTCAGCGTTTCCTAAAGGCAACGGGTAAGCACAAGTATTTGGACCCATTATGTGAGCACGTATTGTTTTTCATGACAACATATGAGTAAATTGCGTTCTCTGCAAGCCTAACTGGAATGACAAAATGCAGTGTCGCTTGAATAACTGGTGAAGACGGCAGTCAAGCTCCTGTCGCGAAAAGGCGTTTCTTGAAAGGCTTGAATTCGATTTGACTCAGCTAAATAGATTTAGTTTTTTTTTACTTTTGGCATGTAGCTCAAATGATGTCAACTAATAAATAATTACTGTCTGCTTCCTGCTCATGCAATTGTTGTAGCCGCAATTTCAAAATTTGTGAGTCTTTACTTCTTATATATATATATATATATATATAACCAGCCGTGAGCTGCTCACGGCTGGTTATTTTTTCATGAAAAGTGGATGAAAAAATAACCAGCCGTGAGCAGGCTGGTTATTTTTTCATCCACTTTTCTTTCTTCTTATTTACATTCCATTGGTTCTAATAACTTCCCCTGTACATTCCTTGGCATTACTGCCTGTTAGATCTCATTATTATTGTGTTAAAACATGGAAAAACGAGCCCTTAGGTATAGACTTCTTTCCCTTATTTCATTAAACGAGGGTCTCGTACTGGCAGACTTGGTGTCATTAGGTTGTATACGAGGGACTATTAATCAGCTGCCCGCTCATAATAAGTTCACGTGCTATGTGACGCCAAACATGCGCATAAAAGAGTGTTTTCACACTCGTCGCTTGGCTTATAGATGGCGCTGACTATCACCCCTACTTCTAAATTCACATATAAACCCAAAAAAGTGGATGGAGGGAAGGCCGCTGTGGTAGCTCAGTGGTCAGAGCATTGAACGCGTTATTCGAAGGTCGTAGGTTCCTGCTAACGGCTGGTTAGTTTTTCATCCACTTTTCTTTCTTCTTATTTACATTCCATTGGTTCTAATAACTTCTCCTGTACATTCCTTGGCATTACTGTCTGTCAGATCTCATATATATATATATATATATATATATATATATATGAGATATGGCACAACGGGAGCGTTGTCAACAAGGATAAATATATTTATTTTCCAACAGTTTCGGGAGGGGTCCTCCCTTCATCAGGGGATGAGTTATACTGACATGAATTTCCAAACTTCGTGGCTGCCGAGTCCCTCTCGTCTTGAAAGATGTTTGCGAGAGTGAGAGGGAACTAAAAAAAAGTAAAAAAAAACAAAAAAAGAAGGGGGAGAAAAAAGACGAAAAAGAAAAAGAAAGAAAAGAAAGAAAGTAAAAAAAGAGGAAGAACCACTGTCAACACTGAGAACAAAACCAACTGTCCGTGTACGTCTACATAGGGTTCTTATCACGTGCTGTTCAGTTCTCGACGTGTGTCGGGCCACCCAAGATTGTCGCCGCGGTGCCGGGAGGGTCCGTCCCGCACGCCGTCACGGACCCTCCCGGTACCGCGGCGACAATCTTGGGTGGCCCGACACACGTCGAGAACTGAACAGCACGTGATAAGAACCGTATGTGGACGTACACGGACAGTTGGTTTCGTTCTCAGTGTTGACAGTGTTTCTTCCTCTTTTTTTTTACTTTCTTTCTTTTCTTTCTTTTTCTTTTTCGTCTTTTTTCTCCCCCTTCTTTTTTGTTTTTTACCTTTTTTTTAGTTCCCTCTCACTCTCGCAAACATCTTTCAAGGCGAGAGGGACTCGGCAGCCACGAAGTTTGGAAATTCATGTCAGTATAACTCATCCCCTGATGAAGGGAGGACCCCTCCCGAAACTGTTGGGAAATAAATATATTTATCCTTGTTGATAACGCTCCCGTTGTGCCATATCCCATACCTTCACGAAGACTAACTGGCCCATTATTGAATTATTACTCCACTATATATATATATATATATATATATATATATATATATATATATATATATATATATATATATATATATATATATATATATATATATATATATATATATATATATATATAAATATATATATATATATATTTATTTATTTATTTATTTATTTATTTATTTATTTATTTGCAAGACGACGTCGACATCCGTCTTGCAAAAACGTGGACGGACATGCGAACTTTGACGATGGGTGCGCGCGTTTTATGAGAAGCTGCTGCGATGTGCTTCGTAACTTCTGCTGTATATTATTTTGTGACTTTTTTGTACGGAATTTCTGGGCATTTTTGTCTCACAAAAGTGGCTAAAATTTATTGATGTGTTTAGGATTCCCATACGTAGCGTAATAGTACCGGGACTCGCCTCAAGGGCGCAAGATTGCCGGTACAATGCACGGCATGGCCACCTTGAAGGAATTGTGCAAGTGTGAGCTCTGGCATTTACGGGAAACAATATCAAAAGTGACTTCTCAGTTGTGAGTAGGTAAATAAAACCTTCGCACGTGGACTTGGAGGGAAAGCAGCTCGAACGCACTTACTACTTTCAATAATTAGGCAAATGTTTTTGGAATGTGTTCAGGGTCATTATTATTTCTCTAATGTAGTTGTAATGTAATAAAATATTTTTTTAGCATTTTTAATGTGTATAGGTTTGCCACTGCTCCAATATAGCTCTCCTACTTCTAACCCGTTTGACAGCCCTGAACAAAACGAAGGTGCAACAGTGTAGTATGCTGCAGATTACAAAACGGCATGTGATGACAGGAACCTCGAGAATCTGGGAGAGCGATCAAAAAAGCTTGCACTTGTACTAACGGAGTGTCATTAGTGAGTTGAAATTCTAGAGAACTGTTGCAGGGTGCCTACCTCAGTGGCGGTTGAACACATTTTTTATTTATTGTTTTGCGTAGTGCTGGTACGAACTAGGTTACATGTGTTCGGAAATATTTATTGAAGGAATAAAGAACATCTAAGATCTTACCGCAAATAATGTCTAAGGTACACAGCGTGACCAGCGGGACGATATCGGTGCGCTTGCCGGGTGAACACATTTTTCCAAGCTTGTCAGCTAATATAGTTGACTGATTGTTTATAGTCGAGATGAAGTCTTCGAGAATGCGAAAGTGGAATGCTGGAGTAAACATACGTCTCCTTGTTCTCCACTTGTTCCCTGTGCTGAAAATGAATCAAACATTTGCTTGGTAATAAAGCATGAGTCTGTAATATCAAGTCTTTAGATTCGAAACATATATCCGCAAGTCTCTCTGTATATGCCATCACCTTCTGAGCATATCGCTGCTAATGTCTTATGTACATTTTTTCCCCACACTATATCTGGTATTTTAGACCACGGAGTGATTCAGTGAAGCATATGAAACAAAACTGAGGGGAGAGGGGGGCAACAAGTTCACTGAGATGACGCTTCCTTAACACAAGAAGCCCTCGTATTGTTAACTTAAATTAAGAAATTAAAGGAAATGAAAAATAAGCTTCCCGTTAGCTATGACCAGTGCACGACGACTCAATGCGGTGTTGCTCCTCGGGGAACATCACAACAGCATACACCGGACCGCGGTTCCAGCTCGTGTGCACTGGCGTACACGAAGGATCTCTTCAAAGGCCGTCAGCCTTTCAGGGCAGTTCGCTTGTTTTCTAAACCTCAACTATATCTTGACAGATAAAAAGCACTTCTCGGTTGAGTGTCTTATGCTTTCTTTGCAAACTATAGTATGTATGCCTCGTTGATAACGCAAGCAGCCTTATCTATCTCGTGGATAGACAAGCTCACAAAAAAACCTGGGTGATGTGTCCTGAAAATATACATTTTCGTTCAAGACCTTCATACTTATCACAATGGCTCTAATGACACTGAAGTAAAAAAAGAATAGATTGGGGCTCGTTGATCCTGCTTGAAGGGTATGTTCACACTTTGGAGGCCACAACAAAGCAAAGGGGCCGACGCAGACGGAAATGCTTCGCTTCTTACGGGACTCTGCAACACTTTTCTAAGTAACCATCGAATGGCCTCATCAAAAACGTTTATCGCTTCACGAATCAGCTACCGCCAATTTTCTAGAGTCCGCCAAGCCAGAGCGAAGGTACCGAAATTAGCCCCACTATATATTGGCTTTCTCTCGACCCTAAAAAAGCGCTGAAAGCTAAGCAGAGCACGGGAGAAAAAGTAACGTAAGATGTCGAGGTATTTTTCTTCTTTTATTTTGCTTCGAGCACGCGGCTAACATTTAGCGTGATCGGGAGCGCCTATATGCGGTAACGCGGAGGCGTCCTGCGGCGGTCATGGTAAATTGCAGCCACGATGCTCAAATGAGCCAATAGCCGTACATCTGGGTATATATAGCACGGTCGTTCGGGTATATAGCATCATTTGTAGTGAGGCATGGCAACAATTTCTAGCTGATTTTGAGGATTATTTACTTCTTCCAGGCCACCTACTGCGCTAAAATATTTGGCTCGTGTGTTTTCAGAAGCCTAAACTACCAATCGGCAACGTTTTCAGATCATTTCCAAAAAGTGTTTCAGGGCCCTTTTAAATCCAATGTGCTGTGATCTGAATTGATACAGCAATCACAGTTTTATCGGTGTTTGTCTATGCTGTAAAATGTTACTAATTGGTGTGATTTAACAACCCACAATCATGATATGATTATTATAAACGCCGTAGTGGAAGGCTTCTTAAATTTTGACCGCCTGGTGTACCTTAACGTGCACGCCCCGCCGCGGTGTTCTAGTGGCTAAGGTGCTCGGTTGCTGACCCGCAGTTCGGGGGTTCGAATCCTGGCTGCGGTGGCTGCATTTCTGATGAAGGCGGAAATGTTGCAGGCCCGTGTGCTCAGATTTGGGTGCACGTTAAAGAACCCCAGGTGGTCAAAATTTCTGGAGCCCTCCACTACGGCGTCTCTCATAATCATATGGTGATTTTGGGAAGTTAAACCATACATATCAATCAAAATCCTTAACGTGCACCTAAATCCAAAATTCATCTCATAAGTTTCATTCAGCACTGCGGAGGCCACGGGGTTCTCAGCCAATGGGAAATGTGAAAATTGGTCACGGTGTGTTCATTAGCGCCGTGTCGATACCGCAGCGTCTTCCTGTCGCCTGCGTGGTCACATTGGGCAAGTGACGTGAGCAGATGGCAGCGTCGGGAAAAAAAAATTGTCCCCGTATCTGCATGTTTCATTGCAAATGTCGTCGAAAGACGATAGTCGTGCGTGTTGTAACAACGAACAAAACGTTTATTTGATGTTCTGCGAGAGGAAATCGGTGAATTGCATTCTGGAAGCGCTGCGTTAGTCTCGATCCGTGCAGCGAAGACTAGTGAGCGCATGGAAGGCACGTTAGACACGAGCGTCATCTGGCAGTTATCTTCGAAAACGAACGAAGGCGTGCGCGCCTGCTCAGAAAGATGCGTGCCTGTCTCAGAGGCGATAAGGTGTAGAACGCAAAACGACGGGCAGGTGCCACCTCCGTTGGAAACACTTGCCCTTTTGAGCATCACGTTGCCCTGTCAGCGCAGCGTGATAAACGCTACGGTCCTTAGAATTACTTGTGTTTGCCTCCTCTAGTATAAAGGCACTCATACAAAGCATTGATGAGTTGTTATGGAGCGTCAGATATGCTCAATATTTCCTTTTTATTTGACAATCGCACAAGTATGAACGCTGAAACTTGAGCAATATTGGGGGGTGCTGGCGTTAGCCGTTTAAGGTATCGTCGGTCACTTTGATGCCATAAAGGGTATCATTACCACGCACAGACAGACAAATGTACAGACATACATACATACGGACAGGCAGGCAGGCAGACCAAAATTTTGACGTCGAAGGTCCCCAAGAAAGACTATCGTCTTGAAAAAAGACATAACATGCCTGCACCTATCGACGCTGGTGCCTTCCGCTTTTAATTTGTGACAACGTCGTCGCGCGCTCTGTGGCACGTAAGTTCAGGTGCGACGTTTGTATTCGCTTTAGATTTATAACCGCATGCTCCGACTGTAATGTATTTGTCACTATATTTTGCTATATTCATAAATAGCTATCAAATTATCAGCGCGTTAGGCTTATCAGGCGTGGCTAAATGAACAACTTATCTTGCCGAAAACTACAAAACGCACCTGATGCTTCTCCTCATAATGAGTTGGCACAAAAGATGGCTCATTTCACCATTTATTTGTTGCTGTCCGCACTGTGGACAGATAACAAGCACAAGATCGGATCGGTGCGGGTGGTTGAGTTTGCATGGACACAACCATGTTATTTGCACGTCTCGGGATCAAATCCCGGCTGTGGCAGCTGCATTTCTGATGGAGGCAGAAATTTTATAGGCCCGTGTACTCAAATTTGGGTGCACGTTAAAGAACCCTAGGTGGTCAAAATTTCCGGAGTCCTCCACTACGGCGTCTCTCAAAATCAAATGGTGGTTTTGCGACGTTAACCCCACAAATCAATCAATCAATCAATCAATCATGTTAATTTGCAACCCCATTACTGGAGATCACTAATGTCACAATTAAAGAAATACCATGTAAATGTGACGAAGAATGAACATATCAGGTATGGATGATAAGTGACACCTGTTAAACAAGCACTAGTGTCTCACCCTTGCGAATTGCAAGGTAATTGTGTCAGAAACGATGTTTTTCTGCGCACGCATATGGTTTAATTGCTTACACCCCGTAGCTTTGGTAGTGCTGAATGGTTGTGGTGACATAGAGTATAAGTACACGTGCCTGAAGCCTTTTCGTCTCAATCGTAAATGTGACTGCCGTGGCTGGAATTCGATCCCGCGACCTTCAGGATGTCAGTCGAGCACAATAACCACTAACCCATCGCAACGTGTATGCTGAACTCCCGTTTACACGTGTTATAAATCGCCCGTCAGAACAGCCTTTCAAGCGGTATTTTCTTGCTCCTTCGCCCCCCCCCCCCCCACATACACACCGCATTCGGGGTAAACGCACCTGTTTCAGTTCAAAAGAGCTCCTGGCCGAGGTCGGTATCATAAAGGAAACTGCCGGCCATGCCAGTCGCGCTTCAACGGAGTCGAAATGCTATATATAGGCGCCCAGGTATACCGTGCAACGACGGCGCACGTAAAAGAGCACCAAATGGTCGAAATTTCTGGAGGCCTTTGCTGCGGCGTGCCTCATAATCAGGGGGTTTTTGCACGTAAATACTAATACAATGCTATTAGAGTAAGCGAGCTGTTCCATATCAAAAGACGAATTTTTTCCCCTCACCTATCCAGATCACTCGCAAGCTATCAGCCTTGTGAATGATTTCTCGAAAGATAACCAAGAGCTAGTTGTGTTTACTGATTGTGCATTTTCTTACTCGACACCCGGCCACAAAACTTCTGTAGCAAACGGTGTAGTTACAAATCCTGCGCTGCACGCAGCTCCAATACGGTGAGACCCGAGGAAATGTGTATATGCATGAAGAACTAGTGATTTCCGTTAGTAGAGTTCCCGCTGCTCCATTTACCGAACCGTCGATGACGTCAACAATTCGGGTAATGATGTGGGGTTTCCCCAGCACGAGTAGAATCTTGTCAGAGCCATTCACCAGTTCGCTGTGCGACATTTTGTCACGCCTTTTCAACTTCCTGCTTGTTGTGGCATTTGCCATAGCGCGTCGTGTGCGACGAGTTTTGTCAAGTTGTTTGCCTTTTCAGATGTAGTGACAAAGACGGAGGAGAAACGCAGGTTCGAGAAGCAATCGCACGCTTGACGAGGGATTGCTTGTTTCCGAAGCGTTTATATCAATTTCACCTCGTTTATTGCGATAACTTGATAATTTTTGCCCATTACATTACTTTAGAGCCCCGCCAAAGTGGTCTAGTGGCTAAGGTACTCAGCTGCTGACCCGCAGGGCGCGGGTTCGAATCCCGGCTGCGGCGGCTGCATTTTCCATGGAGGCGGAAATGTTGTAGGCCCGTGTGCTCAGATTTGGGTGCACGTTAAAGAACACCAGGTGGTCTAAATTTCCGAAGCCCTCCACTACGGCGTCTCTCATAATCATATAGTGGTTTTGGGACGTTAAACCCCACAAATCAATCAATCAATCATCAATCAAATTGATTTTGAGTTTTTCAAGCGCTGTTGTCAGCCTGTACAGACCACTGGATTATGAGCGTGATAACGCCACGTGGGACCCACGGGCGGGAGACAAGCCAGTCCCCTAAAGTGTGACGCAATTAACACTAGACGTCAGGTACTGAAATTGAAGGTGAAATTGTTTTTAGTCTTTAACTATAGTTGCTTTTGAAGATGTGCAAGTAGAAACTGATTGATCGGGTGCTGTAGATGCAGTGGTGGTGGATTTCCTCGCATCTGCAGACACAGAAGAGGAGAGTGTACAGCGTAATAACGCTTTACTGCTAACCTTTCTATGAACGACCAGCTCCTTGGATGTGATAATCAACCTCTCATTCCTTCGTATTACCGCCATGTAGAAGATTTGATGTTTATCACATAGATTGTGCTCGTTTTTAAGAGCACTAGTGAGCCGAAGTTTTGACCTCATCTTTGCTAGCGCACACTGCAGCTTAAGAAGACACTAATGAAAGAAACAACAATTTTTCTCGTATTAAAAATTACCCTTTCACAATACCAAAAGCTCAGCTCTTACGACGAATCGAGAACAAAAATCAAAGACAATGGGCGACGCCACCTTGATGTTTCCGCACCAAATCGCTACGACGTCATAGATTTTGAAGGTGTCTACTAGAGACTACAAATTTTTCAATCAATAAAAATGAAGTACGCTATCTTCTAATGCGGTCACAGTCCTAACGATCCAGGTTTGCCAGCTAAATTTTGTCGAGTAAACGTGGCTAAAATACGTACAAAACACATCGAAATTTGTGACGTGACGTTGACGCTTACTTGCACCGATTTCGGCGCCAATTTCAAAACATGAAGATCCTCTGTAATGTTACTTTTCTTAGTAAACCGTAGTTGAGAAATGACTTACAGCCGGATACTCACACGATAATTTATAAGGCTGAGGCTGAAGAACCTTTCGATGTCACAGTTGTGAAACAGTCAGTAGGGGAGCGATCGCGGCCGCCGTTTCATTACAGCCTGCTTAATCCGTTCAGCAAACATATCTCTTCAAGTTTCTGCGACTTTTTTTCACTAGTGAAGCAACTTTGGCCATGCACATTCCACTCTCATGAAACCTAGTACCAACGTGACAGAAGTAATATCCTCTACCGTAAAAACCCGGTTATTTGGACGTGCAAGGGAGCTCTTCGCTATACGTGTATACTGTCTATGTAACAAATTTCTTAGTGCCGAGCGTTACAGAGGTACTTAACGTTCGTAGTGGTATAGTCTACACGTGAAAGGTTGTTATTGAGTTGAAATGCTTAGATGCATCATGAAACTTGAAAATTGAATGTCGGCATCCCTGCGCGCCAGCGTCAATGCGTGTGATTATAAAAATCAAGGGAGGACGTCACCATATGACGTCATAATTTCGACGTCATTGAATACCTATGACGTCAAATTATAATGACATTTCATTACATCGCCACTTGGCCAAAAGTTGTGCCGATCACGGCGGCAGTGCAGAATGTGGTCAGGTGCACAAATCTTGCAATGCCTCCAATGCTGGAGTCAATGCAAAACTACGTTAGGTGTAGAAAGCTTTCGGAGGGATGGGGGAGAGTGAATAAAAATAAAGGAGATCGCCATCGAGTTATTTCGAGCGAATGAATAAAAGATACCGTGAGTTTTCTTTCTTAAAACCATGCCGCCACCTCGACACCTCAAGTTGGTGCACCTAACACTCTCCGAACTGTATCGCACGAACACGTTTAAAAGAACGCACTTGCTTACCTTAAAGCCATGGTAAGGCAGAGTGACTTTAGAGCCACAAAGTTTAACTCTGGTTATTTTGACTCATGTGCACTTTATTTGATTACGAGACTTCAAGGTTTAACCTTTTTGGGTAGTTATCAAAAAAAAAAATGCCTGTATTTGCTCTTACCTTCGATTCATGCATAACTGGCCACGGCTGAAAGCGGTCATCTAGCATATGTATGCATTTATATAGGTACAGCCCTAGAACTTCCGTACACCAGTCGCTCCATCTGCTCTTTCCAAATTTTCTAAAGTAGTCCACAAGCTACAACACCTTCTGAGCAACAGGCGATGCATGTGTGTGGGCCTGCGTTGATTCCATATGCTTAGTGATAAAATTACTCACCCTGTGAGCAGACCAGTTCCCAACCAGCTGTGTAGGAATGTATACTCTGGTCCCTTGGCGAGCAATGCATTGCTTGAAAGCGCCTCCTATAAAAGCAGAGCCGCGAATTATATGGTCGATCATGCTAAGTATACACTTATCGAAGATATTTGCCATGCCAAAAGGATACCTGCATTGTATTTTTCTCACAATGTACGACACGCTCGGGACCAACTTACATTTAATGGCATGAATGTATATTTGTGGAAACTCCAAAACATCATTCATACGCTGTTTAGAAAGTGCTGCATGTATTGAAATGTCAAAGAGAGCACATACCTCTACAAACTCTGCTTTCTGGAGGCTTACTGATGGCCTGGCTCCAATAAAAAACAAATGCATTCCACACTTTTTATGAACATTGTGAAAACCAACGGTGGCTCCAAAGAGAGCTGGAAAGAGAAATGAAAGTAGCAGCTAAAGAGGCGGTTCTAGTTCGCTGCGACTCGAGTGTAAAATTATGAATGAAAAATGTAGGCACACGAGGACGCTTCCGATTTGTGCCATTGATTGGGGGCGCGTCCAGCTCTCTATGTTGATTTACATCGCCTCATCTTGAGAATCGTTTTCTTTAATTTTAGGACCGGAGCTCGTTAGGCCGGAACTCCACCGTCGCCGACGCTGCCGGGTGAAGCTTCCAGCGCCGGGAAAACGCACCGAGAAAAACAAGAAGTGCGTGCCGCCGAGCACAGCCTACCCTCTCCACACCTGCTCCCCAACATACCGCCTGCATGAACGCCATCAGCGAGATCAGGCGCATATCCATTTGTGTCCCATTTCTAAGGAGCCCCGCTCATTGGTTGTATTTGTACAGAGAACAACTGCTAGTTGTCTTAATTATTTTTATTTCTTTTTCTTCTTTTTACACAACAAGCTAGCTTGTTGTGGAGTAGTTGACGTTTACGTCACCTTGGCTAGTGCGGCATTCATTCCGTCTGAACGTGACAGTATTCGACATATTAGACTGTCAGTGAGACCTATAGGCGTCTCGGCAAATGTTTCAATGCCATAACGTTATGCAGACTAGCTATTTGGCTTCGACGATGTCGGGAAGTATACGCCCTTGGCAATGCAGCTGGCCTGCCGAGGGCGATGTAATGGGAAATTGGGAAGCACGGTAACTGTGTGTCGTCACACGCAAATTACAGAAGCGGAGACCGGGGAGCTGGATGTCGCTGAGTTCTCTACAACTCCGTAATATTTGAAAGTCGTTGCAACAAAGCCGCAAACTTGGTCAACAATACCTATTGATAAGTTGATGTCTATGTAGGTATCTCTGTGCACATGCAGGGCTAGTTAGTCGGTGCTTGGTGGCATGTATTGACATATATGTATTTTATGTTTGAGTATAGCGCAGCCATGCATGTTGCATCATGGTACGTATTACAGAAACGAGGTGATCAAAAGAATTCTGGAGTGCACGACGAGGACGTGACTTAATCATATAGTAGTTTCTACATGTGAAACCTCAGAAATAATACTAATAATCCTTATAATAGTATACATAATCAAAACTGTTCGTTTGAGCCAGGGAATAACACTTCATGTCAAGTAAATATATCGGCAGACAAAGGGAAAACAACGAAAACTGATGCGGGGAAACATCGTGTGTGTGTGTGTGTGTGTGTGTGTGTGTGTGTGTTTGTGTGTGTGTGTGTGAGAGAGAGAGAGAGAGAACGAAAAATAGCCATTGTTCCAGGAGATCCTCCCTCTGAGACGCAACCAAACAAATTCATCAAACAGACAATTAGGCTAAGGACAGCAGGGATCGCCAATCGTTGTTTTTTAGCTGCAGGGTGGTAATTATGACTTGAACTTTAATGAACTTGTGTGTTCAAAAACACCCCTTCTGTCAGATGGCACCGAACCAAAAACATTTAATTTACGCGTCCGATGCTCCACGAATTGAGCTGCGGCGGAGGCCTTTGCCCCATCTACGTTAATCGGTATTTCTGTGTGTGATCCGTGGGAGCAACAGCTACCCCCCCCCCCACCCCTCGTAGCCAAGGCAGCGAGTGCACAACAGTAATTATCAATAATTTTGAATACAAATCAAATAACTTTCCTAATCGAAGCATATTTAATTTAAAAAAACGCATATTCTGATTTTCCCAAAGAGGCAGCGACCGCTGAATATACAGTTAAAGAGGCGTATATTCGGACACGTTTTCATATTCTAACCACCTCTAGAATAGAATTAAAATAAGAATGATAAGCAATCTTACTTTTGGTTGTACCATAGTTATGAGAGCACTCGGCTACCGACGCAAAGGTCGCGGAATCGACCCTGGCCGCGGCGGTCGCATTTCGATGAAGGAGAAAGGCAAGAAGCCCGTGTTCTGTGTGATGTGAGTGGACGTTAAACAACCGTATATATGGTCTAATATTATCGGTGCCCTCCACTGGGGCGTGTCTTCTGGTGAAGTCGTGATTTTAAAATAAAAAAAATCCCCAAAGATATTTTTGGTTGTTTTTCATTTTTGGTTAATATGGTTGTGCCATAGCGGGAATAAAATAATAATAAAAACATTAGCAAGCGCTAACAGTATGATGTTGGGGATGTTCTGCACAGGCTAGAGCTGTTTGTCTGTTACGCTTACGGGCAGGAAGGTGGTGGCATTCCTATGTGAACACGCGTTATTTTGAGTAACGCACACGTTTGGTCTATCATTATGACATGTCATTTATGTACAGAAAACGTGCGAGCCGAAAAAATGCGCGAGTTCAGACCAGTATTTCGTATTCATGCTTACCGGTGCATTCTTTGCGCACAGTACCCAAGCTCCTATTGCGTCTCTCGTATTGCGTTTCTTGGCTCCCGCCCGGGATTTGATTCCGCGACCTGCGGGTCAGCAGCCGAGTACCTTAGCCACTAGACCACCGTGGCGGGGCACAGCTAGCCAAAACACAAGTCCGTGAAGTGAAACTGCGACAGCACCCCGATAACCTTACTATCACTGCACGGTACTTCTTCACGACGGCACTTTCACGTTATCACCGCCAGCTAGACCGCCGCAGTGACACAGGGGCTACAGTGCTCGAGGGCTGCTGACCCAGCGGTCAAGAGCTCGATACCCGTCGCAGCGGATGCATTTCGATAGACGCGATGCACTAGACCCATGTACTGTGAGATGCGAGTGCAGTTAAAAGAACACCACATGGTCGGCATTCCCCTACGGCGTGCCTCGTAATAATGCCGTGATTCTGGCACGTAAAATACCACAAATCATTGGTATTATTATATGTTATCACCAGAATGACCCTGCGAGGAAATACCTGTTCTTAGAGGGCAACGAAATCATTTGATGCGAGTAGGGCATCAAATATGCACTATCATTACGTCATGCATTCCTGCCGTAGCGCAGCTAGTCGTCAGCAGCTTCCAGATGTTTTTTTTATTTTTTATTTTTATTTTTTATTTTATTTTCACCCAAGCATCTGTACCGGCTTTACAAATTTCCATCAGAAAAAAAAACAACACAATGTACTAATAACTACACGAAATCGATTGCCGAAGAAGGCTGGACTTAGGACCATGGCACGTTGATAATAGCAACATGACGACGTGTAAGGGACGGGGAGGATAACGCCACGAGCGCTCTTTTCCGCGTCAGCCGCTAGTTGCACTTTCAGGAAGCCTTCAATTATGAAGCACTTCCTGCGTTGCTTGCACGAAAGTTTGCATGAAGAAATTTTATACGCTAAAGTGCCTTCGAAGCCAGTGTACTAAGCAGCCTGTTGTTTCAACCCCGCAAATATCCTAATTTAAAAGTTACTTAATGCAACTTCGTTAATTACACCCATGACTGTGCAAGCTATCTATCTCATATAGACTTCTTGTTCATTTGCAATAGTAGCGTCACTATTATTACAAAGGATTAAAGTTTAATGTAACTAACGGACAAGAGAAAAAAGGAAACTCCCAGAACATACTATTTCAAATTCGAGGCCTCAAGTCTCATTCGTAGCCATGGCAGCCCCTGCGTGATAGATGCGAACTGCATGGACAGACGCGTAAATATATTCAGTTGTGCATTAAATATTCACATGAGGCTAAAGTAGTGCGGAGTCTCTCACTATGGGGTGTCTGGCATTCATACGGTGGTTCTTGCACGTGAAATCTCGTGATTACATTACAAACTCTTTCGATATATTGGTGCTGCGTACATGGTAGAAATCATCCGTTTGTTTACAATGCATTCTCGTAAGTAAGCTAGATGGTGCTTTGGGAAGGCATTGTTGAACTCTCAATGCGTCGCAAGGCAAAAGCACATTTGCAACTTAACAAGAACTTTGAGTCGGTAAAGAAATTCAGTGCTAACAGCCGATGCCGAGGAAGACTACAAAAATATTGTGCCTAAATAAGTTTGCCTTAAGATAGGTGTCCTAACCCCTATTCCTCCCACTCAGCCTACCCCCCTCCACACAGACACAAGTACACGCAACAAAACAGCGCCTGATTCACTTTTCATATACAAGGTCTGTTTGGCAAAGGTTGACGACCTTGCATTCTCGTAGCCATTTAGGGGAAAGGGGGAGTTTTAACTTTGCATCTGTACGTATATTCATGCACACGCACAAACGTACGCAGAAACATACGAATGTATAGTCGAGCCCATCCCCAACAAGAACGTCTCGCCGCGCGCCCTTGGCACTTTCCTTAGCATACCGTATATGTTACAATTGAGTAGAACCTGTTTTGACCAGCATTCCTATAGTATACATACGAATATTTTTATGAACACGGCTCTCCATATTTTGCTTTCATGAAGTTCTGGTGTGGTATTTACGCAAGGACTCTTCCCATGCCTCATTCTTTTCGTCTTTTGTAGTTTCCTGTAACGAAGCACCAAACGGAGCAATGAAGCTCCACGGGCAGGACGGACTAGTGATAAAAAACTTCCTGAGATGACAAGAAAGAATCATTACAAGACATAACCTCCTGGTGCCGCAATCACAAAGCAGAAGCTATGCTCGAGTTATGTGTAGGTATTTCAAGTTAAATGCGTCTCATTGTCCATGAATGTCCTAATAACATGATAACTTTACCTCTTGGGATACCACTTCTTTGCTGCGCAACCGTCAAAATAATTGCACTTTATGTACGAAATGACATATCTGGCATTGACTCTACCTTATCTTCTACATCTCCATTCACATTTACGTTTTATCGAGACGTATTTGGTGTATACATACCCCAAATCATAAGGTGAAATGAATACGTAGAATGATCATGCATCCGAAGCAAATGGCATCCTTGTTTACCCAAAGCAACTTGTCTTGTTGTGCGAAGCTTTCCTCAAGTTCTTGCGAACGCATACTTTACCTCAAATATGCCTCGTTGGTTCAGGATCCTGCGGTCTCTTTACAATGATCAGCTCAGTGTAAAAACCGTACACAACCAACCGACTCGTTTAATCCTGAGTACCAGCATGAAACTTAGTCTAGATATGTTATCCCCACTCACATGAAAGTATCTCTTCTGGGTTGCGTTCAGAAAATAAGCTACATGCCCACTCCTTTGACACTACACGGCATCTCTCGTCATTCTTATGCTGCTTCTTGTATTGATGATCAGCATGTGATACGTCCCTTCCTTTACATTCGACTGATCTTTCACAATTATCTGCATAAAAGAGCGTGCCGATATCAGCATCATATGCCCGCAACTTTGCTCAGCAGCACAGATCTTCCTCATGCTCCCATTGCAGCCATTATCAAGGTGTGAAGCGTAAACGTCGCCCGCCAACTTGTACGCGTTTCCAGAAAATTATTGTCTTATTCAAGAGTTACGGTGCTGATCATTACTGTGGAAGTAGCTGCACTTCATCAGCTGCTGCCTCTTTCAAAAAGGCTTCCCTATCTGGTCTGTTGATTTATCTCGCATGCGTAGTTTAGAGAGTCGAGAGAGACAACGTCGACGTGTATGTTTACTTCTCGTGTGCCTCAAACGCGAAGCGATACCCTATGCATGAGCAATTTCCAGGAACTGAAGGCGCACAACCAAGTCTTATCCCTCAATCGCAAATACCCCCCACCCCGCCCCTAATATGCATTGCGGTCGATATATCCAGTGCAGTGCTAGAAAAATAATTAATGTTGTGTGCGCCTAGCCTATATATAGGCACAAACCGGAAGCCTCCTGAAGAACACTTATTTCGACAGTTTTAAAACAGCTGAAAGCAGCGTGTGTTCAAGCACCTCATGAAAGGTAAAACATGACGCGTGCTGTGCTGTCAGCTCACGTCTAGTATTATCCGAGGTACGAAATAGCTCACGTTCAAACGCTTTTTAATTACTGTATAGCGCTGTCTAAATCTGGCGGTCTCCAGGAACACTAAACACGAGGAGCAAGTTTGGTTCGCATAATGTAGCATCAGCATGATAGCATTGCTTGTTTTGAACATTCACAAAAAAAAAACATTTCAAAGTATGAACACTTACCTGCGCTCAACCACGTTGGTCCTCCTTGTGAGCAACTTTTAATTAGCGAAAACAAGTTCATATAAGGCACAGGCTCACGTCTATGCGGAACATTCTTTAGTGTTCGAAGCGCCCTCAACTGACTGAGCTTCACTGTAAATAGGAACGCCACGACCATTAGGGCCACTAGGCCTATGCTCGATGCCAGAACCACAGCGAGGCATGATGCCACTCCAGCCACACCATTCAAGCCCAGGAAGCCAGAGGTGTAACACGACGTGAAAGACGACATTTGTAGGTGCTGACACAGATGATCCTGCTGCAATAAATAAAAAAAGAGTGAAAAATACAAGTTGCACAACTTTTTCTTTTTTTTTCATTGGACTGAGATTTCTACTCTATTTTTTTTCTCGCAAAACTTCTCACGTTTCCAAACCCACACCACCCTTTTAGAGTCAGCCAGCCATTTAGACTCAAATCCCTTTCGGAACTTCATATGCGTCATTTTACATTCACAAGAACTCGTCGTCGTTTTACCTTCTCCACAGTTTACAAAATCTTTTTCAACGTGGTGCTACATGTGTAACGAGAGAAACCTCCCGAGAAAATAAATCGTTTTCGAACTGGTAAAAATGGCTGTCCACAAACGGGCACTTCAGTGGCAAATATGGGAAGAACAACCCCCCAAAATGCAAGGTTTGGCTTCCAGAGCTCCAGATAACTTTAAAAGGATTCCCAAAGACCAACAGCATTTCTTTTGATCTTTTGTCGCGATTATTTACGTGATTATATATATATATATATATATATATATATATATATATATATATATATATATATATATATATATATATATATATATATATATATATATATGTGTGTGTGTGTGTGTGTGTTCCTAAACTTCAAGACACGATCTGCCCATGCACTGGCGCTATAATATGTCTGCGTCTGCACACCGGACACTAATTCTGACGTCTAATCACTCTTGCATTGTGGGTAAATGACACTTAGTCGACAAGATTATCACTTTTCAGCGGCACTGAGCGGATTACTGTCATGTAACTTGCCTAAGCAGCCATGCCCTCGAAGGAGGACGGAGGTATAGCGTACAGCTTGTATGAAGATATTTAAATGAAAGAAAGGCGCGGATGTCAACCACGACTGGACCATGCAGTTTGCTACCTAACACCAGGAGAAAGGAAAATCAGAACATAAAGTGAAATAAGAAAGAAGAGAGAAGCAGTTTATTAAAAAACAAGTGCGCCAGCATGAACACAAGCAGATCGAAACGGACTGCACGTATTGTGTGTACTTCCATCACGTATGCGTTATTTTTGTTTCTGTTTTACACCTTCACAACTGCAGTCTTTTCGCGAAAAAATGCGGGATGGTGAAGCGCTGAAGGCAAGCGCAATGAAAGGTAGCCGAGACCCTACATGTTTGCCTTTCTACATTAATTTTTACTATCCCTTTAAATGTTTGACATTCTGTGCTTCTCATGCAAAATGTTCCATGTTTTTCCTGTGTGGTGGAGGGTGATGCAAGATTTCTTCAAGCTAACGCGTACACAAATAGGTACCAGAAGCCGCCTTTACATGCAAAATAGAAAGTAAGAGAGTGAGAATTAAAAAAAATGCAAAGAAAAAAAAACGAGAGTACACCATGTGCTGTCAACATGGAGGCTTAGTCGGCAAACAATGCATGATAACGGCAGAAGCGATCAGCGGGGCGGACGTAATCTATGGCGACTGTTGTGTCCGTCGTAAACGTTTATTTTCTGGGCACAAAAAGACCAAGAATGTAAAATGTATACTTAAATTCATTGGGCATTGCCAGGGGTCGGCACACCAGCCCCCCCCCCCCCCCCCCTTCTACCTTCCCAAAAATTTTTTTTTTTGCCATTGCATACATAGCGCAAATTTGCCTGCCCCTTCCCCCCTGCCTGAATCTGACGCGACTACTTAAATCCGATGCTTCGAAATGCACCCCACAATATTTGATCTGAAGCGTAGATAAGACGTGGTCGAATTTCGAAATTGTTGCGCTAAATCATGCTTGGAATGGACCGACGGCCTTCCGTAAACAAATACATTAAACATGTTTTCGTTGTCGCTCTTTAACTGTTACAGAGGACGAACTGCATTACGCAGACAAGCCCACGTTATCAATTTATTTAGGCGATGACGCAATTATCGAAGTGAATATAAAAAGGCACTATCCTTGCATATTCTACATTTTATTCTTGTGAACACTTGCAATGTAACCTAAAAAAAAACTGTGATATACAGGATTAATCTTGTATTTTTTTTCTCCCGCATTCCTCGAATAAATACGCTCGTAGCGCTAGCTAGCTGCGTGGGCTGTTATTTAAGTACTGTTGCTGTATTAGGAAGTTTGCGGCTTTCATAGTTTGGTGCAGGTTAAAGTAACCTAAATATCTAACAACTTTATGAATTCAGTAATATGTATTCATCTGACCCAGTGTCATATTAACACCTGTTGCTTGGATATCCGAATAATTGATTGATAATTTAGTAACTACTAACAAAATTGCTTAGACGAAGCCATCGACATCAAGAGTACCGAGCGAGCATCGCTACTGTAAGCCACGCATCGTATATTGTGGCGCTTACGGTGGCGAATCCAAGCGGGCGAGCGAGGAGAGAGAGACTGTGCTCCGAGCCATTACATCACACCTACCTTGCCGGTACGACGCAGAAGCGCTGAAGGAGCTGCCGTGAGTCACCAACTTGAAAAATACTTCTTCCGCAGAGTGTTTTGACGCTGCATGGCGCGATTATCCGCACACCCCGGGCTCCGCAAGCCGGAATCAGACCGTCTCGCCGTAGTCGCACGCCAGCAAAACGTACCTCGGCTATGCTCTCAGCCACGAGGGAAGGCGGCGCCTTCTACATGTACGTGCGCGTCGTTGGGCGACGTTCAGGCAATCGCGCCTGGCCCCCATCGGCCTTGAGGTCGGTGCCTGTCACGTGCGCTAAGAGCGCGCGCCAAGCGAGAGTGAAAACGGATGTGCAATCGAACGAAGCCGTGCACGTGGAGTGGACAGCGGGTAAGGAAAGTGTGTGTGTAGAGTGCACAAATGGTCAGGCGCGTATGCCAGATACTCATTGGACTACGGCCATGGCGGAGGTTACGGAATCGGCTGTAATCTTCAAGTGCATTCATTTCCAATTTTTTTTACTTGTTTCAAAGTATGCGAAGTCTACTCTATTTATTATGTAGTGACTCTGAAAGGGAAAAAAAAGAGGGATATATCTTATACCCCTATCACACAGCCCTCATAAAACTCCGTTTAAGTACTTCGTATTTTCGTCAAGGGAGAGGCGGCTCATATCCCACGGCCCCTCCATTTTACCGTGAAAGTTAAACGGAGCTTTTGGAAAAGGGAGTTCGGTAATGACCATTTGGGCTTGACGGAGTACCCTCGTTTCCACACAGCTACTCCTACGAAGAAAACCGCGCTAACAGAGTTGTCTTAGTAATCTCATCAATTATAGACTTCAGCGTTATAATCTGTTCGGTGTTGCACTACACACTGGATAGTTGAAGTTATTTTTATTTTTGAGGACATCAATGTCTGTATCCTCTACACCCAACGCTTTGCCAAGCCGCCACTGGAAAATGTTGCGCCGTATTATTTGTTTACACAAACATGAGATGCACACACGTGGACAGTGTACTTTCCCGTTTTAGTTTTATTATTATTATGCATGCATAAAAGAGCAAGAAACCACGTGTACGTTGCTTTAATTGTGAATATATATGTGAAAGATAGTATATACTGACAAGCGCCGCAGCGCCGTTTCTGCCCCGTGCGGTTCGGGTCGAAAGCTTGCACTAAGTCATGTAGCATACCCACTACTCCATTCTCGTAAACCTCCATTAGGGAGTTGAAGTCTGAACTGAGGTTAACTAGGTTCAGTGGTTGCCATGTGACAGGGGTATTAGTGCCTTTTGTCTCTTTTAAGAACTGTCTTGACGTCGACTAGAAGGTGCACATTTGATTAGATTAGTGCTCTTCATGTGCGACCCCTAGTCATTATCGCAGTAATACGAAAACATTCGTGCAAGCCAACGGTATCCTAACGGTTGATAATACTATTAAATACAAGCTAAGAATATTATTCTTCAAGCAAATCGACAATGGGCGTCCTGTCTTCGTAATCCCCCCATCAAACCGAATGAATACTATAACTTGTAAAGTTCTCACATAACCAAATTCCATTATACATGCAGTACATGCCAACTATATGCAAGCAAACGACTTACTTAATGGGAATCCGTCTATGCAATACCATACCATCTGCTATCAAATCCTCTCAATCGATTGAAAAGCTAAAAAAAATCTCACGATTTATTTATACATGTTTTCCATAATCTGGATAGTTGTACTTACCTTTACTGCTCCGGTTCCCTTTTGTGCCTACTCACAACATTATGTTGACGAAGCACCGCATCATCATCTTACATTGGTGAAATCTTATGTCAAGTAACAGTTTTCTTTTTGTCGTTTATTTTTGGCTAATTCTCATAGTGTACGTGTAATCATCTGAAAACTGTTTTGGAGTGTTTAATTGCCTTTATTTACTCTCCTGCCCAATGTTCTGGCTTCTCCCCCTCTTCTGGCGGCTTTCCACTGTTATTTTTCCTTGTATCGAAATCATTTTGCACGTGATGTATTTTATTGCTTGTTTGCTGTACGGCTGTTTGCTACTACAATTATTTTTCTACATTCACTACTAGTTGCTAAGGTGTTCCTGTTCAGTCTCTGTTTATGGTACCTCTATCTGCATACAGAAATTTCGGAATTCGTTTAATGCCCAAATAGACCCCTTCTGTCTACGGCTTTCACAAGTTTTTCATCTTGGTCGAAAAAGAGATCGGCACAAGGGCGAAACAAAGGATCATGATTGATGATGGATATGTGGGGTCTAACGTTCCAAAACCACCACATGATTATGAAAGACGCCGTAGTGGAAGCCTAAAAAAATTTCGACCACCTGGGGTTGTTTAACGTGGACCCAAACTTGAGCACAAGGGCCTACAGCATTTTCACCTCCATCTAAAATGCAGCCGCCGAAGCCAGTGTTCGATCCCGCGACCTGCTGGTCAGCAGACGAGTACTTTAACCACTATAGCACCGCAGCGGGGCGAAAGAAAGGATGACTGTGACATTACTTGCTTGGCTAGTTAGGTGTGCAAGATGAATTTATAAAGTTTTTTTTTCAGAAGTATTTGTTTTGATAACATAAAATAATGGAAAATACTGTGTTCACATCAGTCCAGGCGTTTTTC